TTAGCACTTCCTTCCATTCCACACCTCCGAACGAGACGGGCTTTAAAAAAAGCCCCCCGTCTGCCTTCCATTATCACTGTGCTTTCCGCTCCAGCCGTGCCAACCAGCCCCAGAATAGCCCACTGTTAGTCCACTCTGCTTCCTCCTCACGAGGTCATTTATTCTTCCACATGTCTCTCTCTCTCTCTCTCTCTCTCTCTCTCTCTCTCTCTCTCTCCTCTCTCTCTCTCCTTTCTCTTTCTCCATGTTACTCAGTGATATTCTTTCTCTTTCTTTCTTTCTTTCCTTTTTTTTGTCTCTTTCTCTCGCTCTTGGTCTCTACCTCTTTCTTTCATTCTTGTTGTTGTTTTTTGTTTTCTTGCTTTCTTTCCCTTATTCTCACGCTCCCTGGCACTTTCATATTCTTTCTCCTTTTTACTTTTTCTCTCTCTCTCTGTTCTTTATCCCTATCCCCCTCTTTCTTTTTCTCTTTCTCTCTCTCTCTCTCTTTCCTTTCTTTCTCCCTCTCTCTCCTTCCTTGTCTCTTGTATGTTCTCTCCTTTCTTTCTTTCCCCGTTTCTCTCTCTCTGCATCTCCCTCTCGTCTTACTTTTGTCTCTGATGATCCTTTTTTGAATTGTATTCCTTCTTTCTGCCATGTGTGCATATAGTGCTCTAAAATGGGCCAGCAGTGAGTGAGAGAGAGCGAGTTAGGGAGAGAGAAGATGAAGAGTGTGGTTCTGTATTTTGCGGTGAGGGAGAGATGAGGATCTCAGTGTTCTGGTGGTGTGTTTTAGGACATATATACAGATGTAGAATCTTCTATTTTAAATCTCTGTTATGGAGCAGTGAACTCAGTGCACTTTCCCCTTAGACTGTCTTTACAGCTCGACAGACTTTACTGACAGCAATATGGACGAAACACTATTGCGATCGTAACTGTTGCATGTTGATACAATATAGAGCGTGGCGTAACCTATCATAGAATAAAATGTAACACAGACTTTTATGTAATTCAGTTTGGTCATCTTCTCATGTTCCCTCATCAACATCATCAGTAACGGGACTAATTTTGCTCTCTTTATAGGCCTTACTCCTATATTATTTTACCTCCTCTTGGTGTGTGTAATATAGCAGTGTTTAGAAGCAGATGAACAGTTCACAGTGAGAGATAGACAGGCTTAAAGTACAGCCTCCACACGGGGGGTTAGTTTAACACACTGTTACAGCTAAGACCCCCAGAGTAAACAATCCGAAGTACATATAATGTCCCACCATAAGCATTCATAACTGAAAAGCTTTAGATTTACTGTACAGATATTTGCTGTACTTTATAAAGTATACATGTTGTGTGTTTATATATTATTTTGCATATAATGCCCCATTTCTGGATAGCCAAAATAAAATTTTACCTCTTTGGTCATTAAGTGCTTTGACACACAGGCAAGATTACACCTATACTTGTAACTTTTTTTCAGTGTTTCACTGAAAATAATGTAGTTTTTCTAAATGATATTGCGCTCCATGTGCCAAGAGCCAGTTTCTGCCACATTGAGAGGAGCCAGTTGAGGTGGTTTGGCCGTCTGATCAGGATGCCCCCCTGGCCACCTACTGGTGGAAGTTTACATGGCAGGCTGACTGGGATGAGGGCCCAAGGTTGTTCTAGGACCCGCTGGAGGAATTATATATGTCCAAGTTGCCCTGGGAGCGGTTTGGGGTCCCCCATAATGGTCTGGAAGTTGTTGCGGGGGACAGGGTCGTCTGGGATTCTCTGCTCTCCCAACTGCTACTGCCTAACTCGATTAAGTGGTTCATGATGATGATGATGATGATGATGATGATGATGATGATGATGAGATGAAAACTATGTTGCAGTATGTGAATATTGTAGTGTCCTGCTACTGGCTCGTTCGGCTATAGACCATGCCATGGTCTATACCACGTGCCAAGCAGAGCAGCAGTGCACAGAGCACTGGACTCGCAGTAAAACGGACTTAACTTTGTAAATAAGTTGTTGATGTTCAGTTTAAGAGGTGCAGCAATGTGATATGTGCTACATTGTGGTGGCATGTGGGAAAGTTGGGTGGATCTGTGGACTGGAGTTGTGTGGCTACTGGCTTAGCCAGCGCTGAGTGGCGGTTCTCCACTGCTGCTGTGTTCAGTAAAAGAACATTCGCTTAAAGCTTCATGACACCACAATATATCACTCACTGTTCATTTTGTTTATTTTCAAAAGAAACAGTGAACAAAATTGGTGGGCATAAACACAGATGTGAAGAATTGTGTGTTTTTTGAATGCAGGAGAAACTTGTGGCCTCAAGAACATGATCCACTCCTGTGTGTAGAATAAATTAGCTCTTAATAAAAACACTGCGCTACATGTCATTTTTCAAATGGTTCCTCGAGATCTTGCGCTAGTTTGGCTGCTTCTCTTGTTTTGCTGTTTTCGCCGTGTTTCTCTTTTTCACATACTGTTCAAGTCATAGATGGTTTTTAATCACCCTACTTGCTCATATTCCTCCAGAGGAACAGGATGTAACCTTGTTCCACAAGCTCGATTTAGTGCGATGTGTAACGCCTGTTCTAGACAGTCCGACACAAACAGCTCATCTGCGGTGACTCAAGGAAAAACATGATGCAACCAGAGACTCGAGTGCAATACTTCTAAATTTGTGGACACTCGTGAGATGTTTTTTTTTTTTTGAGTAAATAGGCACTTTTAGAACCACAGCCGGAAAACAAGCCAGCAACGTGTTCACTGATTTGAATTTTGTGAATATAAGCAAAACTTGTGGTTTGAAAATTTTGCTAAAGCAGTTTTGACAGGAAATACAATGCAGTAACACATTAGTGAGTGTAGTGGACACGGCTACACCGCTCTGTCTGATATACTCGTCTAGGGTATAGAGGGGCTGATAAACTGTGCAGTAACAGATCTGCTTCAGTCTGTAACTGGACACCTACACAGTGCACCTATATGGTCAGTGTTTCTGATAACAGCTAATGACTCTGGTGTTTCTGTTTTGTACTGTTTCTGTTCATTTAACTAAATATCTGTTTAATTCACTCTGGTCATGAACTTAACCTCAACCCAAAACATAATGCTTAATCTGATCCCAAACATAATCTTAACCTAAAACTTAATCCTTAACCTCACCTCAACCTATAATCTAATCCATAACCCAGCCTTTACCCAAATTCTAGTCTTAACTGTAACCTTAATCCAAAACCTAACCTTAAGCCAAAACTTGATCCTTAACCTCAACCTGTAATGTAATCCCAAACCTAACCTTAACCCAAAACCTCATCCTGAATCCTAAATCTCATCCTGAATCCTAACTTCAACCCAAAACCTAATTACAAACCTAACATCAACCTAAAACGCAATCCTTACGTTAATCCTTAATCTAGTCTTAACATCAATACAAAATTTAATTCTCAACCTCCACCCAAAATCTAAACCTTACCTTAACCCAAAACTTAATCATTAATATCGACTTATAATCTAATGTGTAATGTAGCCTTAACCCACAATCAAATTTTAACTCTAACCTTAACCCAAAACTTAATCATTAACCTCAACCTATGATCTAATCTCAAACCTAATCTTGACCCGAAACGTAATCTTTAACCTCAACCTATAATCTAATGTGTAACCTAGCCTTGGCCCAAAATCTAATTTCAACTCTAACCTTAATCCAAAATCTAACTTTAACCCAAAACATCACCCTGAATCCTTAATCTAACTCAACTTCAACCCAAAACCTAACCTCAGCCTAAATCTTATTCCTAAACCTCACCTTAACATCAACCTAAAATTTAATCCTAAACCTCCACCCACAATCGAAACCTAACCTTAAACCAAAGCTTAATCCTTAACCTTAATCCAAAATCCAATCCTTAACTTTAACCCAAAACCTAATCCTTAACTTTAACCCAAAACCTAATCCTTAACTTCAACCTAAAATTCAGTTCTAAACCTCCACCCAAAATCTAAACCTAACCTTAACCCAAAACTTAATCCTTAACTTTAACCCAAAATGTAATCCCAAACCTTAATCTCGATCTATAGTCTAATGCATAATCTAGCCTGAACCCAAAATCTAATTTCAACTCTGACCTTAATCCAAAACCTAACTTTAACCCAAAACTTCATACTGGATCCTTAATTTAACAACTTCAACCCAAAACCTAATTATAAACCTAATCTCAACCTAAAACATAATCCTAAACGTAACCTTAACATCAATTTAAAATTTAATCCTAAACCTCCACCCAAAATCTAAATCTAACCTTAACATAAACGTCAACCAAAAACTTATTCCTTAACCTAACCTTAAAGTCAACCTAAAATTTAATCCTAAACCTCCACCCACAAGGTAAACCTAACCTTAACCCAAAGCTTAATCCTTAACCTTAACCTAAAATATAACCCCAAACCTAACCTTAACCCAAAACCTAATCCTTAACCTTAACCCAAAATATAATCCCAAACCTAACCTGAAACTTGATCCTAATGTTAACTAACCTAATCCTAAACCTAACCTCAACCTGAAACTTAATCCTAAACCTCCAAAATTTAATCATTAACCTTAACCCAAAATCTAATCTCTAATCTGAACCCAAAACCTAATATTAAACCTAACAATTTTAAACTTCCGCTCAAAATTGAATCCCAAGCATTAAATTTAACATTAACCTCAATCCAAAATTTAATCTAAACCTCCACCCAAAAAACTAATCCCAAATTTAACCTTAACTTAAAATCTAAACCTAACCTTAACCCAAAACTTAATCCTAAACATAACCTCCCCAAAAAAACTTAATCCTAAACCTGACCTAACCCTAACCCCAAAACTATTCCTAAACCTAACCTTTTATCTGAACCCAAAATCTAATCCTAATCCTGCTGAGGATCAATGGAGATGTGGAGGAGACCTGCAGCTGTAGAAGGTTCTAACAGTGTGTCTAGTCTCCTGACCATCGCTGTCTGATTGACCTCTGTCTTCTCTTGTCTTGCAGGTCCTCACAACCGCGTGTCGCGGTGTCCTCCTAATGAGCACCAGTGCCAGGGCACAGATGTGTGTGTGCACATGAATAAGCTGTGTAACGGAGTGTCGGACTGTCCAGACGGCGGAGACGAGGGCGCCCACTGCAGAGGTACACGCTCGTCTTCTCTAACGGCTCCAGGCCGGACCGTCCACCGTCCACTCAGTGTGTCCTGCTGGTTTACGGTCAAACAGAGAGTCAGTTTGAGGGGCGTCAGTGCTTTGAGTGCTTTTGCCATCATTTACTGGAAAAGATGTCGACAACAGCAGCGTGAATTAACCCTTTAACACACGCGTCACACTCCAGTCCACTAAACACACCTGAATCAGCTCTGCATTTAAAGGAGAACTCCACCTGTTTTTCAGAATTCCTGTGTAATTGAGTGTGTGAGTGTGTGATTCAGAGTGGTTTGGTGTAAAATGGTTCCGATTTCTTTACAGTGGTGGTGATAGGAACCAGGGGGCGCCGTGACTACAACACAAATATAGACATCTTACTTTACTATCCAAAACCACCAGTGAACCTACACACTCTTGAAGATGGTTCTTCAAGGGTTCTTCAGTAAAGACAATTGTTTTATATAGAACCATGAGGGCTCAAAGAACCAGTTGCATGCTTAAATGATTCTCTGCATGGTGAAATGGTTCTGCAGATTGATAGAGAATGTGTTGTATATTGTTCTATATGGCAGTGAAGAGTTCTTCTATTGTTATGGTGTCGGACTTGAAACAATAGAAGAGCCCTAAGTAGAACCTTTCTTTCTTTCTTTCTTTCTTTCTTTCTTTTTCCTTCTTTTTTTTTGTTTTCTTACTTTTGTGTTTGTTCTTCTGTCCCTCTCTTTCTTTCCTTCTGTTTCTTTCTTTTTCCTTTGTTTCTTTCTTTCTTTCTTTCTTTCGTGTTTGTCATTCTTTCTTTCCTTTTTTCTTTCATTCTTTTCTTACTTTTGTGTTTGTCGTTCTGTCCATCTCTGTTTCCTTCTTCCTTCCTTTTCTTACCTTAGTGTTTGTCATTTTCTTTTTTTCTTTCTTTCTTTTGTTCTTTTTTGTTTCTTTCCTTTTTTCTTTCTTTTTTGTCTTTCTTTTTTTAGTTTTGTATTTGTTGTTCTGTCCCTCTTTCTTTCCTCGTTTCCTTCTTTTTCTTTCTTTCTTTCTTTCTTTCTTTCTTTCTTTACTTTTCTGTCCTGTCTTTATTTATTTTTTTTTTTTCAATTTTCTCGTGTTTCTGCAAGTTTGTCTGTCCATCTTTTTTTGTCATTTTATTTATATTTTTTGTTTGTGTGTCTACAATAGAAGAACCCTTTTTGGTGTATAGAACCATATACAACACGTTCTCCAATGTATCTACAGTAATTAGTCAAATAAACAGCTACAATAAATAGTACACATCAGGTAAGTTAATAAGACTTGAGGCCTGAGAGGAAGATTTATTCACTCTGCTTTTAGTCTGTTGTACTTTCTGTTTTAGCTGTAGGTTTGGGGGAGTGCCTTGGCACATGGGACCCCCCAAAAAACTTGCTTAGGGCTCCCGTGAGTGCAAGAGCAGCCCTTAGAAGCGATTAAGTGTGTGTATTTTGGTTCCTGATAGTTCTGTAATGTGTCTTGGCTTTTTCACTGAGTTGATATCACAGAGTAAAGGATCCTAATAGTTTAACAGGTGACCAGTGGCTGATTCTGAATGGATTTGATGGTTTCCAAACGGGATCTACAGGTATTCCAAAGGAAGCTGGTGGTCTCTACTGGAAAGTATTAATCCAGTTCCTGTTCTAATGGTTTGATTTTCAGCAGGGTGATGATGTAAATAACACAGAAGAACAGTATGGTGTCGTTTGTGTGGTGAGGGCTCTTCTAATTCCACCCATATGAATCATTTTCCTCTTTTTCCCCTCTCGGAATCTTTTATCTCCTCCAGATTTAACAGAGCAGTAGCTGAGTGCTCTCAGGAGAGACTCAATACACAGGACTTAATTACCACTTAACCTTTTCCTTCACATCCCATGTGGTGTGTGTGTGTGTGTGTGTGTGTGTGGGCAGTGAGGAAGAAGACACTTGGGACTTTTTCCTCCCGGCTCCTCAGAGCCGCTGTGGTGGGAGTGTGTCAGTCACAGCCTAATATAAATGTTTCGGGTGGGACGTAAACGGAGATGATTCTTCAAATAAACCATCTCTGTGTCCCGGTCAGATCCTCGTGTGTGTCCGTGACTGAAAATAGGGCAGGAATCATTCGGAAGCCGTGCGCAGAACGTGACCACATCTTTCCAAAACTAAATCCCACCTCCGCTTTTGTTGGGTTCCATTGCGAGGCGGATCACCTGCTGCTCCGGCTGAGACGTGGCGTTCCTCAGGAACACGTGCCGGCCCGGTCCGCGCGTGGTGATGTAACATCTGTGCTGCGGTTAGGGCTGATCCGGGGCTGATCCGGGGCACGGCTTCGCTTACGAAACGGAACAGTGAGCTCAGGTTTGGCACTTAGTACAAAACAGGGAAGGACAGCGGAGTTTACAGGGGCCGGTTATGTTTGGTTTTCACAGAAACACGGAACACAGTCCTACAGCTGCACTGTACATACATAACGTCACTCAGCTGGAGAGGAAGTGAATTCACTCATAAACACTGATTTCACTCCAACTATTGTGGAGGTAGTAATTTAATGTGTTCAGTAAAAGTGACTTTCCAGGGTCCAGATTCTCCTCTTAATGAGTAAACTGGACACTCCTTTAGCCACACATACACTCTTAAAGATGGTTCTTTAAGGGTTCTTTAGTAAAGAAAATGGTTCTGTATAGAGCCATAAACACTCAAAGGACCCTTTCCATGATTAAATGATTCTCTACATGGTGACATCGTTCTTCAGATTGATGGAGAATGTGTTGTATATGGTTCTATACAGCACCAAAAAGGGTTCTTCTATTATTATAATGTCAACCTTGTAGCAATAGAAGAACCCTAAAAGAAAACCTTTCTTTCTTTCTTTCTTTCTTTCTTTCTTTCTTTCTTTCTGTTGTTCTTTCTTTCTGTTGTTTATTTCTTTCTTTCTGTTGTTCGTTCTTTCTTTCTCTTTCTTTCATGTTGTCTTGTCTTTCTATCCATCTTTCTTTCTTTTTATTTGTCTCTATTTCTGTCTGTCTTGTCCATCTGTCTCTCTGCTAGTCTGTCTTTTTTTCTTTCCTTTCTTTCTATCATTTTTTTTCTTTCATGTTTGTTTGTTAGTTTGTCCTTTCTTTCTTTCTTTCTTTTCTTGTACTTTCTTTTTTCCTTTCTTTCTTTCTTTCTTTCTTTCTTCTGTCTCTCTGCTTATCTGTATCTATTTCTTTCTTTTAATTCTGTTGTTTTCTTTCGCATTTGTTATTTTGTCCATCCTTCCTTTCTTTCTTTCTTTCTTTCTTTCTTTCTTTCTTTCTTTCTTTCTTTCTTTCTTCCTTCCTTCCTTCCTTCCTTCCTTCCTTCCTTCCTTCCTTCCTTTCTTTCTTTCTGTTTCTTTCTTTTATTCATTCTTTCTTTCTTTCTGTTTTTCTTTCTTTCTTTCTGTTTCTTTCTGTACTTTTCTGTCTGTCTTTGCATATTTCTTTCATTTTCTCTTGTCTTTCTGTGGGTTTGTCTGTCTATCCATCTTTTTTATTTGTATTTCTTTTATTTGTATTTCTTTTTGTCTGTCTGTCTGTCTGTCTGCCACATTATCACGGTTAGTTACGCTGTTCTTTTAGAGAATATTAGGGGTTTAATAACTAACAGCACATTTGAAGCTCATTTATAAGGTCAGCAGTGATTAAATGTCGGAACGGAAAACAGTCTCACCTTCATCACTGTGATGAATCTTACTGTTTATCTGTTTCAATGTCTGTAGAAGGTGCAGATTAATCTCGGCCTCCTGTCTCTCTGCTCACCCAGCCGTCTGTCTCTCAGTGTCTGTGAAACCTCTTCATTTTACAGCTGTGAGTGAGAGCTCCTGTAAATCCAGCTCCAGTTAAACTAACTGGCCACTATACTGGCTGAAATTATTCAGCCCCTTGAAATGCAGGCATGTGGACTGAAGGACAGGCTGAATTCACTGGACCACATTTGGAGGTTTTATTCACTGGAAATAATGGACATAATGTCCTGTGATGGATTTCCAGACCTGTTTAGCATCAAGATAACTCAGTGCACTCAGGTGATGGCGGCATTACATTTGTCCTTGAATTATAGCCTTTAAATAGCTCCTTCCACAAGTCTCTCTAATCTGGTGGTCTGTATGTACCGCCAGTCACCATTCAGAGAAGCAGGCCAGACGTAAATGCACTGAGCAAGTCTGAACTTGACGCTAATAATCTCCAAATAATGGAGGGAAGGTCAGGACGCGGAGAGGAGGGCTAACAGACCCCCCGGTGTGCTGTCTGCTCTACTGAGTGAATGTGATTTACAGTAATGGAATGAAACTGTGATCCTGCTTATCGAGAAACGTAATTAATTTGAATTATAATGCATTAGCGGTTCAGCCACATGGACTTAGCACGGAGCTAGCAGTTTGGCTAACTTGGTTGAAGAAGCCCCCCAGGGTGAGATTCCCCCTCCCCATTATTTTCTATCCTGATCAAATGACAGGGGCAAATCTAATCTCAGCACATTTACTGAATGGCCTGATAGTCTAATCCTGAAATTTCCCCTTTTTTGTCTTTTTATATGCATTTCCCGGATGAGCCCCTAATTCTGTTATGACCCAAGAGAATCTTCACTCTCTGGGTGGGCAAGATAGCCCTCCCTCCCCCCATCACTCAGTGCGATGACGTAATAGAACTGGTGGTTAGTGTTCTCCTCCAATCGTGTTCAGGTGTCCAATGATGTAGCATTAGTCGCTGTGAAGGAGGAAGCCTGCCTTTTACCTCCTAGCACTGGTGGTATCGTGTGATTGGAGGACGCCTAACTCTTGGATACGAATAAATTAAGGAGAAAATTGGAAAACATCAGCCGTGCGTTACTGTTTCACGGTTTCTACAAGGAACATTAGACTCAAGATGTATAATCTCTGTTCTTATGGAGCATCAAGGCACCTGGAAACGTCTCCTCCACTGCAGGTTTAATAGTGCCTGGAGACGCAACTCGATATGCAGAACACAGCATAACAGGGGCCGGTTGCAC